AACTCTCTCTCTCTCTTTTTTTTTTTCTCTCTTTATTTCTCTCTCTCTTTATTTCTCTCTCTCTTTATTTATCTCTCTCTCTCTTTATTTCTCTCTCTCTCTTTATTTCTCTCTCTCTTTATTTATCTTCTTTCTCTCTCTTTATTTCTTTCTCTCTCTCTTCCTCCCCACCTCTCTCTCTCTCTCTCTCTCTCTTTCTTTCTCTCTCTCTCTCTCTCTCTCTCTCTCTCTCTCTCTCTCTCTCTCTCTCTCTCCTTCTCTCTCTCTCTCTCTCTCTCTCTCTCCCTCTCTCTCTCTCTCTCTCTCTCTCCCTCTCTCTCTCCCTCTTCCTCTTCTCCTCTTCTCTCTCCTCTCTTCTCTCTCCTCTCTCCTCTCTCTCTCTCTCTCTCTCTCTCTCTCTCTCTCTCTCTCTCTCTCTCTCTCTCTCCTCTCTCTCTCTCCTCTCCTCTCTCTCCCTCTCTCCTCTTCTCTCTCTCATCCTCTCTTCTCTCTCTCTCTCTCTCTCTTCTCTCTCTCTCAATCTCTCTCCCTCTCACTTCATCTTACCACTTACTTGGCTCCCCTCCCCACCCCCACCCCACCCTCTTATATAAAAAGGCAAGACTCCTTCTACTTATTTCAGATTTATCAGTATTATGTAAACCTCAAGTACTTTTGTTTCTTTAGACATTTTGGAAAGAGAGGAAGGAGGGGAGAGAAAATAGGGAGAGAGAGAGAGAGAGAGAGAGAGAGAGAGAGAGAGAGAGAGATTAGAGGAAAAGAGGAAATAGAAATGAATTGATAGAGAGATTGATAGGAATGATACAATAGAGTTTTTTTTATGAAAATGATAATGATAATGATATCAGTCAGGATTATATCGGTTGATGATGTAATAACAAATTGATAACAATATGGTGGGTAATTACAAGAAGCAGAAATAGAATAAAAAGAACATCAGAAAGAACAGCAACACAGCGAATGAAAAAATTAACAATAACAGTGATGATAACAATAAATAATAATGCTAGTAATAAAAGTAGAAACAACAATTATCAATTATTATTATTATTATTGATAGTGTTATTATCAATTATCAATTGCTGTTGTCATTATCAACCACTGATTATTACCAATGCATTAATTATTATTTTTATATTATTATTAATTATTATTATCAATTAATCATCATCATCAATCATCATCTCATCATCAAAATCATCATCATCATCAATCATCATCATCATCATCACCATCTCATCAACCATCAATCATCATTATTACTATTGATCATTAAACCATTTTTTTCCTAATTATAATCATTAATTATCTTACCATTAATATGCAA